TCCCTACATAAAGCAAGACATTAACACAATCAATGTGAATTTAGCATGAACTTGGGTAAAGTAGGCTGCTTGAACTATGAATGAAAATTTTATTGTATAATTGATTTAAAAATTTGTATCTTCAGGGAGAAAATGGTTGCAACTCTGTTGTCTGTTGGGGCAAAGCCAAATTTGGTCACTGATCCTACTCCACAAAATCCTGGTGGATGCACTGCTGCTGATCTTGCATATATGAGGGGTCATGATGGCTTGGCAGCTTATCTTTCAGAAAAATCTCTAGTTCAGCACTTCAATGACATGAGCTTAGCTGGAAATATCAGTGGTTCGCTGGAAACTAGCACGGATGATCCAGTAAATTCTGCAAACCTTACCGAGGACCAGCAGAACCTGAAAGATACGCTAACTGCTTACCGAACCACTGCTGAGGCAGCAGCCCGCATACATGCTGCATTTAGGGAGCACTCTCTAAAACTGAGAACTAAGGTAGTTATGTCTTCCAATCCAGAGTCTGAAGCACGAGAAATAGTTGCAGCAATGAAGATTCAGCATGCCTTTAGGAACTACGAGACAAAGAAAATGATGGCAGCTGCAGCTCGCATTCAGCATACATTCCGCACGTGGAAGATTCGTAAAGATTTTCTCAACATGCGTCGTCAGGCTATTAAAATCCAAGTAAGAGCTTCTCTTCTAGTTGGCACATATGTTAACAGCAGATTTTGTTCGATAAATTTACTAACATCTATGTTTCAATGCAGTCTGCTTTTCGGTGCTTTCAAGAGCGGAAGCATTATCGCAAAATTCTTTGGTCTGTTAGTGTGGTTGAGAAAGCAGTGCTGCGTTGGCGTTTGAAGAGGAAGGGCTTCCGTGGGCTCCAGGTCAAAACTGTCGAAACAGGAACTGGGGATCAGGATCAACAAAGTGATGTAGAGGAGGAATTCTTTCGGACTGGTAGGAAACAAGCTGAAGAACGTGTCGAGAGATCTGTAGTGCGTGTGCAGGCTATGTTCCGTTCGAAGAAAGCACAAGAAGATTACAGGAGGATGAAATTGGCCCTTAACCAAGCAAAGGTGACAGTTTATTTATACAAGCTAATGGCATATTCTCTAACACTTTTTATTAATGACTGAAATTTATTAGAAATCACAATTGTGGATCTTCTTATTTGATGATACTCACTTATTATTTTATCATTTTTAATAAATTTTAACTAATAATATAGAGTATGTTACTATCGCTCTACTAATTTATACATTTTATTAGTCCTTGGAGGATTTGGTTTTGCATGCTTTTTCACTTATAGAATATTCCTTTGTGCAGCTGGAACGTGAATATGAACAACTTCTTAGTACTGAAGTTGACATGGAACTGAAGACATAGGTTACCCAAAGAGAGTCTTAGTTTTGGGGTGCAGTCTGTTTTTGTATATCCTGTGGATCCTTGTACGTTACCCTTGACCCTTTCAGACTTCCTTAATATCCTAGAATGGGTCATTATATAAGTTTTCATGTGTCGTTGGGCTCTCTATGGTTGAAATCTCTTATGCAAAAATCTAGTCTCAGCGGAAAATCGGTGCCACCCCAATGTTTAAAATACAGAATACTAGAATAGTTTGGCTGCAAACCTGGTCTTTTACCTCAATAGGTCCGAGGCAACCGAAGATCAGCGCAATAACATTTTTTTTTTTAATTTATAGGCGCCAACACATCTTCAATATTAGTCCATATGTACAGACACTTTTTGTTTCTTAAATTATCATATCCAATATCAGTGATCTCTCTAGATTAATGGTTAAAAAGTTGTTCTATGATACTCAGCAAATAACTGTTTTATTTTGGATAAATCTAAATTCAAAACCAATTGTATCAATTATCAGCAGAGCTTGAGACAAGTATGATTGCTGGGGAAAAAAAGAAGCAACATTGTGCATGAACAAATTGGACACATGTCCTCTCTAGTGAAGAGAGAAAGAATGACGGATGATTCAGGATAGGCTCCATTTGGTTAGCAAATAATTGGATCCTCTTCTGCTCTCAGGAGAAAATACAAGAGTGGGAGGACAAAAGGAATGGGGAGAGGATCTGAGTCCTTCGTTAGGTGCATCCCATTTAAAGCTGAACCTTGTGTCTTTGTCTCTCCTCACTGCTCGTGCAGTTGCTGAAGAGTCCCGAGACGAACAAACTCGAGTTACGCTAGGGTGACTTGTTTTGCCTTTGCATAATAAACAAACGTGTTCTTACAAACTTTATATCACAATAATCTTTGAGTATATCATCTCTTAATTAATAACAGCTAGATTTGTATCAGATATGACATAATTGGTAGATAGTTTGCTCCTTCAAAATCAATAAGTGACTTATTTTTTTGCGAGAGCAGTGGATATAAATCAATAAATTTCACATAAATAATCAAAATTAATATATAAAAGTCGTGTTTTTCTTAAATAGTCGTATTCAAATAATCATTAAATAATTGAAAATCAATATATTTTTGTATGGTTATCGTTTCCGATAAAACTAGCCTTCTCATTTTGTACATTACCTTATGCAAGTCACTTCCACACATTTGAATGAAGACATATCAAATGATATGGCTATTTTTTATGAGAATGAAGGAAATAAATGTTGATTATTAAATCTTACAACAATGATTAGGATTAAGATATAAAAATTATAACTTTTTTTTATATGATTAAAATTTACTCATGACATTTAAAAAAAAAATAATTAATATCATTTGATGCATATCTATATGAATAATAAGTACACTCCAAATAAACTTTACACTTTTTAGGAAAAAAAAAGAACGAACCTCAGAATCAAGTTTTGAGTGCTAATATGTTCATAATCCAACTATTCAAAATAGTGGAATCAAAGACAAAACCCAACAAATAAGTTTTTTCTACAAATCACACGAATAAGCAATTGATTTACGTGGAAGCCCTTACAGTGTTAAAAGAATATATAGAACTTGTTTAGGTTTAAGTTTAAAGTATTTTTGAAATATTTTCTACCAAAATGAAAAATATTTTTTAATAGAGAAATTTTCAAAAACCCTTTTAAACTTGTATCTAAATAAATTCATAATCTATTTGAGTTAATCTGGAGCTACACTCCCTTGAACATCTTTCAAGTCAAGTTTCTTAGAGTTGAGATTCAGAAAAGAGGACCAACAATTATCTTCATCATCATTGATGAGTAGTGTCCTAAGATCACTGCCACCAAAATATTCCCCTTCTTGATGTAAATGTGAAAAAAAATTCCCGGAGATTGTTGATCAAAACGAAAAGCACTTTCAAACTGTGCACAAAGCTATTTCCTATATTCAAGCCACCATTTATTAATTCTGCTATTTTAATAACTGATATAGCCTGCATCCCAAGCTTGTCAACTAAACAAGGGTATCACATAACAAAGAAAAAGTAAAACCACCATTTACATGAGTAGATACGTCTAAAAACTACAATGCTAATGTGGAGACTGCATTAGCATGAGGATCATAAAGAACTAGGAGCACGCTTGTTCTCTATTTAATGTACTGAGAGAGCCACTGAAAGCCTTCACCATATCCCATCTTCCGGACAATACTGCACATGAACACCTCCAAAGGACGAACATTGGAGTCAGCCAAATTAACTTTGCCCTTGCCTGTGGTGAAGTTAGTGAGGCCCATGTGATAACGTAACTCATCCTCTGAGGCAGCATAAGGTATGTCAATCTTGTTTCCCAAGATAAGGAAAGGCACATTTGCTAATGACTCATCAGAAAGAAGAGCATCCAGCTCCCTCTTTGATTCTGAAAATCTTTCCTTGTCAAATGCATCAACCAGGTAGATTACAGCATCCACCTACATCATATCATCGCATATTAGACTTCAAAGCAATTCCTAATATGACAATACTTGGATCAAGTTTCATATGACAGATTTTTATGGTGACATGTGTAAAAGAAGTTAACACCATTAGTATTAATTGAACAGAAAAGATTACATTAAATCATTTTAGAAAATTGAAGAGATCAAATTAGGTCCTTTTAATAATAGAGAAACCAAATTGAATAAATTAAATAAAATGAAGGTTCAAAATAGTAATTTAGATTCATCACTTTTAGAGCATTTAGATTCATGCAATTAAGCATTTTCCATATAAAATACACACCATTTCACACTGGCCAAATCCATACCCAAGTAGCATAGTACTTGGGTAACAGAACGTTCAAGCATGCTTTAAACTATTAATTCAAAAACCTATTATAAGATGTAAGATGTAAACTTTCATTAATTTAACATACCATAGTAATGAACTAAACCAACTAAAACTATTCAAACGTCCTGTATTCATAAACATGAAACTGAACAAGTAATTAAAATAATAATAAAAAAAGAATATAAGTAATAACAAACCTGGGCGTAATAGTCCCTCCAGACCCTACGAGCAATCTGGTGGCCACCCAAATCGAAAGCCTTGAACTTTATCTTTCCAATACTCAACTCCTCTGAAGTGGGATACTGGGTAGGTTGATGCTGAACTAATCTCTGCACAATTTCAATTTATCATCAACAAACAACTCCTTATTAAATTATAACTAAATTAAAAATCTTTCAGCAATAATTGCAGAACAAAATATCACAAAAGTAAAGTTAAAAATAATAATAATAATAACCTCGTCTTTGAGCATATGAAGCAAAGTGGTCTTCCCAGCATTATCTAACCCTAGGAATAAAATCTTCGCCTCCTTCTGCCACAGACCAAGGGTCGCCAAAATTCCATAGAACCAATCAAAAAGAAACATTCTTTTCAAAGAAAAAAAATATCTTGGAAACTTTCACACTCAATCACTGTGAAAAATAAACAACAAAATTTCCGAGGAGGTCGCCGGAACCTCCAAGCCGTGAAACCAAGAGAGACAAGTACACAATTATAACTGAAAAGAAGAATCAAATGAGAGAACAAGAAAACGCAACACGAAAAGAACCAGTTTTCTTTTCTTCTTTGTTTTGTTTTTGTTTTATTTCTTCAGTATTTGGGTGTGTGTAACCGAACACCGGTTTGGTCAGTGAAAGATATGGGGATGGAGTTAAAGAGGAAAGTCATAAAATATATTTATGAGGACAAGTGTTCGAGAAATCGGAGTGTCGGTTATTGGGTAGAAATTCCAGTTGTGTGAATTTGATTGGTTGGTATGCGTCATTGGGTTTAACAGTTCATAAATAATAAATAAAACAGATTTTTCTCAAATTGTTAGCTGCAGTGCAGAAATGCTCAACAAAAAGCAAGAAAAAAATGTATATATGTCCGTAAAGAGTTGTTGTCACATTTTTCTTCTTTTTCTTTTTTTAGAAATTGTTGTTGTGACATCTGTAAAAGTTTAGGTGGTGGTTACTTTTTTCTTTAATGAAAATATTTATGGTTCGAATTCTGAAAAGAAAAATAGTTATTATTTTTTTATAATAATACTTTTTATTAATATTATTTTATATTTTTAATCTATTTTTTATGGGTCTTCTAATACTTAAATCCTTAATTCACTTTATGAGCTCTACTTTTTTATTTAAATACAAATAATTAAAAAAAATACATTTTTTGATTGACAATAACCGATTTCGAAGGTTCTTATATAAGAACGATTCTAAGTTATTTACAACATGCTCCAATGATAGAATAAACTTTTATTGGAGATAGTCTTAATCGGTAAATTTAGTCTTTAATATAATAAAAAACATTTTCTATTTTTTATATATAAGAATTAAAATAATCATTTTCAATGAATGTATTCGGAGTTATTCTTTAAATAAGATTATTTTGAAAAAATTAAAAAGAGTTTTTTAAAAGGTTTAGTTGTGGAGAATTGAAAATAATATATACAAAAGTTAAATTTGAATCTTTTTATAGTCATTATAATATATTAGTAGGAAAAGAGACACTTGTATATATTTATTTTTTTAAAAAAATTAAAAGAATTTTTTTTTAAATCTAAAGATAAAAGAATTTAATACAAAAATGAAAATTAAAAGGGTGATTACCAAATCATATTCTCTTTATAATAAGTATAGATATTAATATAAAAAAATATCATCTTATATTTTTAAAAATTTATATTTATTTTTAAATTAAATTTTAATAAACTTAAAATATCAATAGTTAAAACAACTACATCAAAAAATTAATTGTTTACATAAAATTTAAAATATAATTTATATCTTTAAAAATATTTATTTATTAAAAAATTTAATTATAATATAGTATATATTTCTATTATTATATATTGTAAATTTTAATTATATAAAATAATAATTATTTTATGCATTACATAAACTTCAATTTCTGATACAAATTTTTCTCAAAGTCTTTTTATTTTGTACAATATATATTTTAATCTTTTAAAACAATGTTTTTAAGAAGATATATTTATCCTTTAAAAAATGTGAAAATATTTAATGTGATATTGTTACTCATGTTTTTATCATAATTGTGGTATTATAATTAGGAATGAGAATAAGTCATACACTAAACAAATATCTATGATCTAACCTCTTTAAAATTTGTATAGTTGTCAAAAAGGGTCAGCCCGATTCATTTGACCTCGCCTACCTCAATCAATTTTTAAGTGGGTTGACCTAGTCCAACCCACCAGTCTTAATGTCCAAAATATTTTAACCCAGTTCGACTCACCACAGGTTATGGGTTAATGGAGTTGGCCACCAACCCCACCTATATTTTTTTATTAAAAAAATATATTTTAAAATAAACTCCAATCTAAAATAATTTATAATCTAAAGTAAAAAATTATCAAACTAAGTATCATGCATATAACATTAAACTTAAATTAAAAAGTGTACAACTTTAAATAATCAAAAAAATAAAATAAAATTTCTTTCATGAAAGTGATTATTCATTAATATTAAAATTTATTTGAGGCTTGAATAAATAAATTTATAATAATTTCATGTTGTTTAATATCATCTTTATTTTTATCTACAAAAAAGGTATCTTACTAAAATAATACATATAATAATAAATGATCGAGTGAATTGTTAGCGGGTTGAGTTGATGAGAGTGTAAGTGAATTAGATTGGTAACCTGACCCACCACGGGTTCAACCCTGGGTGAGTTGGGTCGAAAGTGGCCCGAATTACATTGTTTGTCCTGATCCGACCCATTTTCAAGGTAGGTTGGATTGACCCACGAGCGGAACCCATTTTGACAGCTCCAAAAATTTGATCTAATCTAACTTATTTAATAAAAATGTTAAGGTTTAGACTTTAAAAAAAATCTATTTATTTAAAAAAATTAGACTTAAACTTGTAAAAAAAAGTTTATTAATCTTATTAGGACAGTTTATTTATATGTATAATATAATAAATAAAAAATCAATATATATTCAAAATCAAGAAATCACAAATAAAAACCTTAGGAGACGCATCTATTGTACATCATCATACTCATACATGAGTGTACATGAATTGTCTCTTTAATAGAAAATAATTCTTTAATTTATTATTTTTTTGTGGCATTATACATGTCCGAGATCACTTCATGTATAATGGGTATTTTTTTAGTTTGTTACTATAGTTATTCTAGTTTGTTAAAATTAGAGGCAATTATTTATAATATGTCAAATGAGATATAAGAAATATTTTTAAAAAATTTGGATAAAAATAAAATTACCCTTTTTCATTGAATGTTTACTGTTTGTGCATTAGTGTAAGTCAACATATAAGAGTGGTCATAAATTGTCCCTCTAACAATTTTTTTTTTCATTTTTTTCCTTTATTTCTTTTAAAATCTAAATTTTAATAATATTAAATAAATTATTTATTATCACGCAAATTAAAAAAGTATTTCACAGCAACATATTTAAAAATAGTTTTGTTAATTTTTTTAAAAATTATATTTATTGACCTAATTAATATCGTTAATATAAATAAACTTTTAAATAAACCAACAGATCATACCAAGTTTTTGAAAAGGCTACACTAGACTTATACAAAAAAATCGACTTATATATTCAAAGTTTGACTTGACCTAATCTATTTTCAACCCTAATTGTAACTTATTTTTTATCTAAATATTGCAACTCACATTTGTTCTAATTTCCGGACAGCATGTCCATTATAAATTTATAATCAGTGTGGCCTTTGACTAATATTTTATAGTTGTGAAAGAAAGAACATTAGATGTTGTTACTAGAGATCTTATAATAAATAATATTTTTAAGAATAGTCTTTAATCAAACTGAATTACATTATGCAATCTATTTAGCCAATCCCACCTAAAGAGGTAAGGATCTATTTAAGAATGACTTTTGTCGCTGTTGTAAATTGAAATCATCACTACCTTCCACAAAGACTACTGTTATTGATACCAAATTTCCAAAACTTACTCTTAAAAAAAATTCATCAAACAAAATTATAATCAACCGCAGTATGTTTCTATTAAAAATGGACAAATGTGAAATGTCCTCTTCCTAGTTCCTACGCAAGTAAACTAGTTCTTAAAATCTTTTGTGAGATATAACCATGATGCACTTTGCACTTCAAATTAAATCTCAGGTGAATATATTATTATTTCAAAATAGACACAAACTCAATATACAGCAATATTTTCCATTAGAATGACTAATTTTCATTTGGCATTTTCTAAGTCATACCTGTTAGGTGATTAAGATCATTGTAAGACATGCACAAGCAGATTCAGACACATTCCCTTGTTCTCTATTTTCATATTTGTCAAACATAAGCAGATCAGAAAGAAAAGAGATAAGAGAAAGCTAAGTTTCCAGTCAAAATCGTTGGGGAAGAAAGTGGAATAACACTTCTCCAGATTTATTATTGTGATTCTCCCCAATCATACACATCCTACAACAGAATCCAGTGTTTCAACAGAAATTATCCTCTACCCCACAAGAGAAAATATCTAAACATACAAATTGTAACACATAACATTACTGCAGTTGTATCAAATAATCCAATCAAAATGAAATCATCAAAAACAAAAACAAAGATAAAACCTCTTCTGATGTAACTGCAGACAGTGCTAGTTGACCAAGGGAGAAATGATGCCAAAATCTACTTGATATATTGAGAGACCCACTGAAAGCCATCACCATATCCCATCTTGCGCACAATGCTGCACATGAACACTTCGAGAGGCCGAAGGTTGGACTCTGTGAGATTGACCTTGCCTTTTCCTGTGGTGAAATTGGTAAGGCCTAGATGATATCGTAGTTCATCTTCTGATGCAGCATATGGAATGTCAATCTTGTTGCCTAGCACAAGAAATGGAACATTTGCCAATGATTCATCTGAAAGCAAGGCATCAAGCTCCTTCTTTGATTCTGCGAACCTCTCTTTGTCATAGGCATCAACCAGGTAAACTACCGCATCCACCTGGAAAACCAAAGTGCAAGTGAATTTTAAAGCAATAACATAAACTTCTGATCAGCATTGGAGCCATTGCAGATTAGGTACATGTTTACAAACAACAATTACATTGAATCCAGCACAATAAAGTGGAAAACAATTGTTGATAAGGAAACCACCAACCTCAATAAGTTATAGCTCACTGAAATACAAGTCATGCCACACAAGAAGAAAAAAATTGTGAAACAAAAATATATACTTGAATTCAGGGCGTAAATAGGTGAATTGTGATCTAATTCTGGATACTGCATAATAACTATCAAACTAACGTCATGCTTGACCTTAATGAAGAGCTCTCCACCCTCAAGGTGAAAGAAAATATCAATTTAGAACTTTTGCTTCTTATCTTCAATAGGATGCATACATTATAAGGGAATATGATAACTAGATCTTTCAGAGATCTATGCATCCCTTATTTGCTCTTTCCACTCATCTATGTGCTCTTTTTCTTTTTAAATCATCAATAAATTTTTGGACATGTTAGGAAACATACCAGTATAACACACCTTATAATGTTAAGGAGTGCTATATTTGAAACTTTGACCATCAATATTTCCTTCCCACGAATCAGATAAATATTACAAAGAACATTATCTGAGTCACTGGACATGTCAAAATCAAGTCAGTTGTGAGTTGGGTTACCGTGTAATCTTAAACAAGAGAAATAAACAAAGTTGTATGGAGCAATAATCTAAGATTAATATGCTAGGAAATTCAAAGGATTCCAGAACAACAATAATACTTCAACAAAACAACTAATATGATTAGATGTAAACCAAATAGGAAGTGAACAATATCCAATAAGCTAACCACAGTTAAGAGAACAGTTAAAACCAACGACATCAAAACAATTGGGATCTGAATGAAAGATTAACAAGCCTCAGACTTTCAATTTAAATAGGGAAAAAACACCTTTGACCAAGAATCAAACAAGAACAATGTTCATCACATCCAACAGAAAGCAAATTGGCACCATGGAACTAATGAGAAACATTTGAAGAAACAGTTGGTGATTGCTGACGAAGTGAAACAAATGTCCCCCCACCCCAAAACAATAACAACCATAGAAACTTTTGTCCCACTAGGTGAGGTCTGCTAAAGATCTCCGAAAAGTACCATGCACCTTTTCTTCATGAGCACAAAATAAATACCATTTTGTAAAAGAATTCACAAATCTACAACATCCAAGTTCAACTGAAAGCAAATATGTACTAAAGCACTAACAAACAACACAATAAGAATGCACTATCCATATTATTATAATAAGGCACTCCCTCCAAACCCCATTTCTTAGAAACTAAAAATCACATTAACGGTGCAAATTACACATATTTAACATTGGAGAAAAGGACAAAACAATCACAAAATGATAAGCTAAAATCAAGATATTGACCTTTGCATAATAGTCTTTCCAGACCCTGCGGGCAACTTGATGACCCCCCAAATCAAAAGCCTTAAACTTGATCTTCCCAATGCTCAATTCCTCCGAAGTGGGGTGTTGGGTAGGCTGGTGCTGAACTAATCTCTGCAATTACATTGAAAAAATAAAAACATTCTCCAAGCATTAAAAAAATAAAATAAAAGGGTAATTGAAATTGATGTTAAGGGAGAGCAACCTCGTCTTTGAGCATGTGAAGAAGGGTGGTCTTTCCGGCATTATCTAGACCCAGAAAGAGAATCTTGGCTTCTTTCTGCCAAAGCCCAAGGGAAGCTAGAATGCCGTAGAACCAGTCAAAGAGGAACATGTTTTGTTCAGATCCAAACAGAAGAGAATTCCAGAGCGAGTTTGAATCTGGGTGTGTGAAAGGAGAAGGGAAGGTAACCTAGATCCCACCGAAGTCTTAGATTGTCTTTTTAGGCAATTAATTCAGCGTTCCAAACGCATGTGGTAGGAATGGACCGCATTTTTTCTTTTTTCTCCCAAACACGACATCTAACTAAGAACAGGGACCCATTATTCTAATCCAAACTTGAGTAGAATTGTGGTTGTCTACTGTGATTTTGAATTTTTTATTCCATTTAACTAATAATAATAATAATAGCATACAATTCAATAAGTTATTTATCATCTGTAAACAGATTGTCAAAAATATAAATTTATTTTAACTCGCACATTGCGTATAAAATCATTTTCTTTGTAAAACCTCATTTTCATGGCATATTTATTCACCAATCACCATAGCTCCAATTGCTACTCTTTAACCCATTTTCACATCTGTAATTGGATATAAGATTAAAAAACTTTCATCTTATAAAAATAATTATTCAAGAAAGCGGATTATTTTGAATTTAATTTTTAATTACAAAAAGTACTGTGATTATAACTATTATAAATGAATAAATAAATACGGTGATTATCTATTTGTAAAAATATTTGCAGAAATGGTTTATATTAAATAATTTTAATTATTTTAGCTAAATATTCAATCTTTTTCAAAATTCATAAATTATCAGTTTGTAAACAAATCATTGATCTGATCTAATTAAAAAACTAAAAAATAAAATTTTATTAGAAATTTTCATAATTTAGAAACTTATTTAAAAAATCTAAAATATTCCCGAATCATAAGATGTATTTTTATCTTATTTTGGTAATGATAATCTATAAAGCCGAAAAACTATTATCTTTAAAAACGTTCAAGCTAATTCCATGTTTTTTTTTTTTTCATTTTTGGGCCTCCAGCTTCAGGCTTTTTGGGCCGGACGACAAGCAAAGGGCAGTATCGTCACTTGAGGAGCAAAAGTCTTAGGGTTTCGCCTCACAATATGACGTATATAAGTGCCAATCTGCATAAGCCTCAACCTTCTGTTCCGCAGAAAACCCTAGCTCAATCGCACCTTCACGATTAGGGTTCGTCCTTTTCAATTTCTCCAAAAAATTATCACTTCCTAGTTTCTATATTCACTGTGTAACCCTTTCTGTGCATTGAATTGCAGAGATGGCGAAGTCGAAGAACCACACAGCTCACAACCAGTCCTACAAGGCCCACAAGAATGGCATCAAAAAGCCAAAGAGGCACCGCCACACTTCCACCAAAGGGGTATTCTTTTATTCAATTGATCTACGTTTATTTATTTTCTGATGATCCATATCCCCTTTTTTTTAATTTAGTTTTTGTTTTAATGTTTTTATTTTTTTGCCATTTGTGTAGATGGATCCCAAGTTTCTGAGGAACCAGAGGTACGCGAGGAAGCATAACAAGAAGAGC